AGCGTCTTTGCTCCTAGTAGCGACCTTTGTTACTAGTAGCTACTTGCTCCTAGTAGTACGGCCAGGAGCCCCTAGTAGCGTTCTTGTGCCTAGCAGCGATGGTAGGAGCCTCTACTAGCTACTTGCACAATCGCTTCAATTGCTCTCGTGACTGCTCTCGTCATTTTCCGCATCAGCTCTCCTGCCTTGTCGCTCCGTATCGCAAATCTTCTGCTGGAAGCCTTGCAGATGTGATTGTTGGGAGGCTAGGCAAGATGGAACTTCCAACATGCGCCGAAATGGGTTGGTTCTTAGGTAGGCTGGTGTAGGCTACTGACACAAAGCTGTTCAACGGGCTTTGGAGAGCCAATTCGATGGTGTGCAATGCGTGCAAATCTGTGATTTGCTGACTTCTTCCTACCCTCCTGGCCTTCAGGCTGTACTGCGCCCTTGTGCCTGAGGGATCAAGTCTCCATACGCACTGTTGTATGGTAGGATATTGTCGGGTATTTTGAGGGTTTGAGACATTCAAGATCCCTGGGACTAGTGTCACTCATCCCTCACAAAGATTTTTCCCGAAAGGAAGACATCACTTTGCACAGTCCATGGAGACTACAGGTCAAACAAACCATGGACTCCAGACCCGGGTGGAGGATCAAAAAACACACTAATACAGTATGGGCTTTAACAAAAAGAACAAGTAGTAGTGGCAGTAGTAGCAGCAGTAGTTCTTTCTTTCTGTCTATCAATCTGTCCGTCTTTCTTTCTTTCGTTCTTTCTTTCCTTCTTTCGTTCTCTTTGTGTTTCTCTAGACCGTCCACCCTGACTCAAGACGAAGATGATAGCAGCGAATCAGAGTGTCTGTTTTTCCCATACTCTTCGGTTTTGGTTTTGGTTTTGAGTTGCCAGCAGGCACTCATGAGCGTCAATCCCGCTCAAACAAAGCCAGCAAATGCCACTGTGAGGTAAGGTTGTCACGTTCCTCTATCAGTGGCTCTGCAGGAACTATATGCGCATATTAACGCTGCATCCCACCAGTTGTGGAGATGTTTAAGTGCATGCCGTCAGACGCCGTCAGCACACTAAAATCCGATCGGCTTGGTGGTACCTGGCTAATCAATAGCACATTGAACCAACTGATGACATAATATGACACAGCTTGACAATACTAGAGGCCACCGCAATTGCAAAACGTGGATTCATGCTGGTACCACGTGGACGTGACGGCCACAAAACATGTTCAGAAAGTAATGGCATGCAAAGATTCATGCTTCCATCAGCAACAATCAGACAAGAGTGGTTGGTTACATCATAGTTCATCATTCCATTCTTGGGTCTGCATCTGATCTGTATGTTACTATACGACACAATAACTACTCGTGTCCGAGAGATCGTCAGCTACTTTGAGCCTACAGTTTCATTCCCGGGTGTAGAATTATCAAAACGAGCTTTGCAAAGGCTCTCAAACTCTGGACACCGATACCTATCTCACTGATGCATCAACGTTCTGGTTGACCAGCTCCAGTGGTTGCCAGATGTTACCTGTGATAGAGACAGAAAAAAACATGAACAAGTAAATTCACTGTAAATCTGATGCCGCTGACAAAATTCAAATTAAAAATCAGCGGCGAACGAATAGGGCCTAATGCGCTGGTTCGTAGTCGCCGAAAATAGGCAGCACTATTGCACTGCGAACGACTTAAGAAAGTCAGGCACTGACAGGGGAGTAGTATTTTCCGTCTAAAACTGTCCTGGCCAAGGAAGTGATACAGTACATGTCCTTTTGATTCTTCTTGCTTGTTTTGCTTCCCCCGGAAAATACTCGATGTACTCCCTTCCAGCTTCAGGAAAATCCTAGTTGCTTGCCCAGTGGCAAGACTCTCTGTGCAGTACGTGAGCACTTAGACCAAGGGTAAAGAAAGAACATGTTATCAGCACATCTGAATATTGATTGCGCTGCAATACGGCGAAAGCCTTTGTGAAGGAAATCATATATCATGGAATTTGCCAGACAGAACCATGCTGGACGTTGCTCTCACGCAATGTCAGCGCCTACGAAGGCACAAAATCAGAATGCAAAATTAGAGCTGATGGCTCACCAAAGAATATGAAGAACTTGGGTGGGACCCAGGAGACACCACAAAGCCGAGAGTCAGGTTTGACCAGCCTCTTACATGGTCCGGATTGGTGAGCCGTCAGCAAGCTCAGCGCTCTCCCGGAAGATGCGGGTTCAACTCAACCCAGATTCAGGTCGTTCCAGTTGTACACGGAGAAACCCTGCCAAAGGAACCGTCGTTTCCGTTTCTCTTGACTCAGTGGAACTGTCGAAATAACTGTAATTGAAAGTTGTACTAAGCTTTGATGATGTTCCGTTTCAACAGGGAGAGGCCAGGCTTGCAACAATTTCTCCAACCCAGCACCCAAAAGCCATACAAAGGAGGTGATGTCTGAGGAGCTTCTAATCATGGCTTCACCTGGCGTTATGCATTGTCAACTGCCTTGCATGAGGAAACATATCCATTCATTCAATGCAATTATTCAACACCAAGTGCAACAACTGGGTCTTGGAGGTCTTTCTGAGTCCAGAAAAAAAGAGTAGAAAAGAGGGTCAACGAGTGGTTTCAACGACTTTGGTAATGCTGATCTAGGATTAATTAAGTAACCTCCCCCTATTAGTCAAGCCCAGCGCGAGCCCCAATTGGCCCAGTACTAAACTAGTTTCAAACCTGAATTCCACATTCCACATATCCGTCACCCTGATCAAAAGCGTCCTTGGCTGAAACCTCCGCCAGAACAAAAAAGGCTTACTATTATATATATATATATGTACATATAACTATGTTTGATTATCTTTTTGGGCAGTATCCAATATCTTCTCGCTCGCTGCTTCTCATCCTCCTTCTGCTTCATTCTCATCCATCATTATCATCCTCCGTCACCGTCTGCTTCTCATCATGCTTTTTCTTATCATCCTTCCCTGTTTAAACACCAAAAAACTCACTAGCAAAATTATGTAATTTTCCCTTATTAAAACTCTATCAAAATCTTAAGATGCTCAAGATCACAAAGTAATCTCACGCGCCCTACCACCCTCTAACAGTAGGGGCCCCTCCCCCTATTAATCAAGCCCATCCTCTGGCCTCCATCTTGTTTTCCATCTCTTTCATCCTGCAATCCCCTTTCTTTTCCTAATCATCCCAATCATCCCAATCCAAATCTTGCCTACTCTTGTCATCATCTCATCATCCGTCATCAGGCCATCACCTTGATTCAGGGGATGTGGTCGGGTGGGAGGTTGATTAATCGATTATATGAGCTCCATTGCTATGGCTGCATATGACTGGAGTCGCATCATGTGAGTGTCACAAGCCCCTGGCACAAGCCTCTATGCACTGTGTGGGCACCTGGCCAGGGTTCAAAAGCCAATCAGTTGAACCCCGTCTCTTCACACATGTGAAGACTGGGCCTAACAGGGATCATGCTACGTAAGCGGACATGCTCTGCTTTTGACCTCTGTGGCATTTGAGCATGGATCTTGTTGAATCGTTAGTTCAATCAAGGCAGCAGGAATCATAGCAGGAATGCTACTTGATGCTCAAACACCAATCACACGTGCAGAAAGCCACCTGGCTCCATGTTCAAATCGAGAGCCTGAGGAGACGGGCTGTGATAACCCAAGCAAAGGACGATCAGATTGACTATCGGACTATCGCCCCTTTCGTAAAGATCAGCAAATGCTTTGAAAGTCTGGACAAAGCCACCATTCCAATCACTTAAACTGAATTTGTCACAAAAAGGTGGAGTTAAAATCAATTGTTTACAATCAACTATGGCACTTGCAATCGCTAAATGTCAAATCGACCCAAACAATTCAACTATGGCACTTCCAGTCAGCTGGCAACTCCACCTGCAAGGGCTCGTCCTGGTGGCTGGAGTCGTTTGGGGAGACGAGAGCTAGCAACGCGATACGGAGGGTGTGTAGACTGTATGGTCGAATTTAAACAAATATACCGTTGGTAGAAACAATGACAAGGTTTTACATACTATTTGACTATTTGTGTTATATTGTGTTGTATAGCGTGATATACTGTACTTGCATATGTGTTTGACTGTGATTGTAATCGTTTGTTCTTTTTGCTGGGCAGTGTCTCGTTGGCAATTTTTTAGCTTGAGTCCTCAAGGCTTGAGATGCTGCTCGCACTAGAGAAGCTCGAGTACCCAGCTGCCGTCGAAAAGGAGGAAAATGACTTGGTTTCCTTGGCGTCACCTCGCAGGGAAGCATCATGGCTGTGCCAAAAGCCGGGTGCTGCACGCGGCCTGAAACCTTTTCTTTATTCAAAGATGGAGATGCGAAGACGGGCCGAAGACCGACATGTTTGCAAATGTTTGCGTATATCTTCTTCCTGCAAATGTTTGCCTACGGTTTTCAGGACATTGGCCCGTCCACATCGTTATCATGGGAGCTGATGTCAGCTGAGCTGAAGGGGCGCAAGAGGCCTGAGACGCCAAACAGTCCAGGTGGGGCAAGTGATGGAGTGGCCTCACAATGCGCTGGTCGCATGCCTGCGCATCAAACCAGAAAGTGCTTTGGGTCCCACTTGCTGCTAAGATACAAAGGAAGCCAAAGTAGCCGTCGGAAGTGGCTCCTGACATTGAACTCGAAAGAATGTCAGTCCTATACTGTATCTATATAACCGATCCTAATCTCGCAAAACAGCCAAGTGAGAGTCAAAGTTCAGCCAGGTCGGTTCACCAAATGTGTGCAAATGTATAGTGGATCTTGTTTCGTCAAGCTTTCGCGAAAACATCCCAAACATGCATTTCATTTCCAAAAACCTTTCACCTCAGCAGTTTCTTCATCAAGGTCTTAGTCTTGCTGGGACATCAAGATCGCTCGAGTATACAACATACAGTTTCTCCCCTCCTCATTGTCATAGCCAGGGATTCGGGCTGGCTCAAGATGGGAAACACCCCTGATGAGCACAGCAGGAGCACACGGAGAATGCACTGACTGACTGATCTGACTGCTTCCAGGCTGATATGTCATGCCATGGAGGACGAACGAATTTCTTTATCAGCCGATCTTTCAGTCTTTGATAGTCTTTGCGTTCACTGCCTCCAATGTCACTTGCCGAGCGTCAAAACTTCGACAGAAAGCTCCCACAAGAAGCTGCTATGCTCAATGCAAAGTGATTGCTATGGACTGCTTCGCCACATTGTCTCCTGCGTCGTCCACTCCTCCCCCAGCCTGAAATCCAACTCAGGCCATGGTGCATAGCTGGGTGTCTCCACAGCAGGTGAGCCTGAAGATTGGCTTGGGACCAGATACTTGTTGGTTTGATGATTTGAATGGAAGTTGAGATTTCATGAGATTGATGTGGATGGACCGGGCATCTTTTTGAATCTGGTCATCAGTGACAAAGAAACATGATTACCCTCTTCTCTGCTGCCCAAGCAACGATATACCGGTCCAAGCTTGGATCCTGTACCATTGGCAGTCAACATCGTCAACATCCAATGGTGAACATATCTTCTCTAACACAGTACTTGTCCCGGTGACTCCACCACAAGAGCTAGCAGCTAGATCATCATCATCATCATCATCATCATCAAGTCATGAGTTTGGCCCACTACTTTGACAGGACACACACACACAAAACAGCGTTTGCTCTCAATGATACACCCGTGGCGTCAAGTACGCAGCTTGTTGGCGCCTGCAGCTGCAACGCTGAGAAGCAAAGAGGCTGCAAACGTGGGGTCAAAGGCCATGCCTCCCCAACTGCAATTGTGAAACTGTTGTCAAATGCAATCGAAAGACTCGTGCAACGATCATCCCCATGCATTTGCATCAGTACCTCCACACACGGATCTTGCCTGGTGATGCGGGTGACACCGGTGCTGTTGGCGCGTTGGCCTCCGGTTTGGTTGAACAGATTCGCCCTTTCAAGTGCGGTCAGGGGAGAAGACATGAGAAGACAATAGAAGACAAATCTGGATCAATGACCCACCAAACTTCAACAACCCCGATGAATTGTGATTGCATACCTGAACTTGTGAACCTGTAAGAGCAGCCAGTCTGTGTTAAACGTGCATGGTTGGTAAAAGTCGCTGGCCATCTCCCGTAATGTTCCGCGTAAAAGCTGCCCTCTGCCTCTGATTTTGACAAAGGTATCAGCTCATCCTCTCCATGGGCATGGCGGCACTCCTGAGAAGTCAGTGAAAGTATGTGAAAGTTCACACCTGTTCAGACTTTACCAAACTGGGTGGGCAAAAGCATTCCTAGAAATAACAGAAACAGAAACAGCGTTTCGGGATTTCGATTGAAGCCTCCAGGCGTTCTTGGTCGGTGTTTCCGGCGTGTCGGGTGCGGATACGGTGCTCCTCTCCCAGGCGACAGCGGCCCCGCAAGTGGAACTTGCACAGTGAAGTCTGCAAGGGCGAAATGGAGAAGGAGAGAAAACGAGAACTTCCATGAACTTCCATGAACTTCCATGCTGACTCAATAGAACTTCCATGAAAAATGCTGTCAAATATAGAGGCCTGTTGAGAGAGCCTCAAATATGGACTTGTTCCAAGACCAGCTCTCCTTCTCGCTGACTTGCGGACCGAACGGCCTTGAAGAACTTGTGAGTGGCTCGAAGCTCTGAAGGGTCATGGGCGAAGGAACACGCTGGATTCGTGCAAGCTCCAGTCATTGAGAACTCACCTGAGCTCCGCAAGCATTTCCAAAGGGTGAACACTGTGAAAACATATGAAAACTGATAGAAGATGATAGAAGGAAAGGGTCTTCGATTTTGAGCCACCGTATTTGGGTCTCAAAGAATCAAGCTTGCACTTGGACAATCCCTCGGCACATAGATTTAACAAAACGAGTCCAAGGCACGGCAAAGGGAGGTAAAGGTGAGGTCAGGCCTCGACTGCAACCTGAGCTGTCAGCTTGAGAAGAATGCCCGGCACCACGTGTTTTGTCTCTGTTGGCAAACATTTGCTTCCAGATCTCTCAGATCAAACGAATTCAGAAGTTCACTGTCTGCTAAACAACCCACCGACCCGCCAGTTTTCCGGTGCAAAGCAGCTCAGTATCTCCGTGCGCGTACTTGCACATCGCGCCACGGGTGCACTTGCCATTTGCGTAGAAAGAGCACGCACGGGTCTTGTAGAACCTGAGATGTCGGGCCTCCATGTTGCGTGACAAATGCTTCAGCGGGTTCACTTGCGTCCATCCATTTGCTAGCCTATCAATTTGAACTGCAGGTTTGGTTCGTTAGTTTTCCTGCAAAATCCAACGGTAGGACGGTGGTCAAGCGGCTGCATTTCGTAGCGAGCTCGGTCCTTGTTGGCAGCCTTTGTTCTGAGTCAGCAAGCAAAGTAGTCAAGCTCTTCAAGACAGAAAACTACACACTATTCCGCCTTTCAACATCTGTCCCATCTGCGCCATGATACGTTTGGCATCGTGGTCTGAGTCTGCGCCATGCCCAAATAAGCGATGTATGGTCAGGAGCCTCAGTGTGTCGCGTTGAAAAACGAAACAAACAAAAAGCAATGCAGCAGGCTAGGCAGACTGAGAATCAAGCAACTCTCGGGAGATGGAGCTGAGCTCAGAAAATCTTGGAGCCCAAAACCATAGCCGAACGCATCATGCCACTAGCAGTATGGGCAAAATGCAAAATGACACAAGACATGAAAACAAGGCTTTGGCGGAAAGGTTAGAGTAAAGCTTTGTTTTTGGCCAAAGAAAAAGTGCCGCAAATGCTTTACGTCGGCCTGGAGCCTCACTAGGACTCAGCGCTTAGTCAAGTTTGATTATATAACATATTTTGAACACATCCAGCTTTGCACCTTGTCAAGTGCTGCACGCAGTTCGGCATTGTTCTGCTCCACCTGGCAACTTGACTAGAATGCTCATCTCGCAAAATAGCTTTGCCTTCAAAGGATTCAAGGCTTGAAGCCAATCGCTCACGTTTTCCAACTTCGGGAACATATGACATGATAAAACAAAGATTCGCTTTTAATCTGCTGCTATCGGGAGTTTCCCGAACCGTCATTGTGATAGAATAACCTGCCCTGCTCCAGTCTCGCACCTGCCCGTAGCTCACTGCCATGGACCTCATACATAAATATACACAACAGAATGGTATAGAATGGCAATATATTCAATACTCCTGAAAGGCTTAAGTGGCTTAAGATGCTTAAGGCTTAGGAATTGTAAAGGGTTGCCAAAATCGCTTGAGAGGAAATATAAGAGGAAAAGAAAGACCCTTAAAAAACACGGCACTTTTACAAACTTCCACCTGGAACTCGGAAGCTCCTTGAGCAATGCTCACGTCTCAGATCACTCGGGTCACTGGCTGTAGCTGTAGTTCCAATTCTGACACTGCCATCCTGAGCCTCGGAGGGAGCTTCGTTGAAGAACCCTTCGTCCTCGCAGCATCTAGCCTAGTAGCTTCTTGCTCCTAGTAGTAAGGCCAGGAGCCCCTAGTAGCGTCCTTGCTCCTGTAGCTTCTTGTTCCTAGTAGCTTCTTGTAACATCTAGTAGTTTCCAATCCTTACTGCTAGCTTGAAGTTCTTGTCCTATCCTCACAGGAAACGGATTTAAGCAAATTATTCTAAAAAAAGTAAAGATTTAAAGAGTCCACCTAAGCTCTCTATATATATACATATAATATGATATATAATGATATATATATATTTGTTTTCTTACAAGGGGTTGATCAATGAGGTGAACTCTGAGCCCCAGCTTGTTCCTCTCGGTCTCGAGGCGGCTGACTTCTTGATCGCGCTGGCAGCATGGATTTGGTCCGGCGACGGTTTTGTCCAGTTTGGGTGAACACGGCTGAGTCCCACCCAGTCATGGTGTGCATGGCTGCACGGAAAGCATCAGAATGCTAGAAACGTGTCTCATAAGCACGGGGCAATAAAATTCCCTTTCTTCACATTCATACACATGTTATTTCCCACACAACCAACCATCCTCACACATCCTCAGAAGCCCTTGCTCAGCGGAGAAGGTCTGAGATGAGAGCGGCAAGAAAAAGGACATACTATTGACAATCATACTGCAAGTAGGCTGTCAACTTACGCCTCATTTGACATGCGGAGATCTGGTTGACGACTGGTTGAGTGTTGAGAAGGTTTGGCCAAGCCTGCATGAAATTTACCTGCCTCTTCCTGGATATACTATAGAACACTATTGTCAATGAACTATCAAACTGTCTGAGGACTCACAGGAATGCCTGGCTTGGCAACATTAACCCAGCCAGGCTTACCCGACTTTGCAGCTGCTCCACTTCCAAGTGCAAGGCCTTGCCATTGTTCGGAATTGAATAGGACAGACGGCAATGGCATGACTTCAACAACATGCCTTGTTCTCCGTCTCCAAGGCATCTGCCTGAGGCGTTAAGCTTCTCAAGCGTAGACACAGCCATGAATGTGTTATACAACTCACGCTGGAAAGCCAGAAGCTACTGGTAACAAGGTGCCTTACTAGTAGTAACAAGAAGCTATTAGAAGCAAGTGCATCGCTACTAGATTTGGATACTGCTACGCTTGCATGCTGTGCATGGGCCTTTGGACACAAACACACATACAGTGCTAGAGCCGCTAGAGCTCTTTGGCACCTCGAAACTGTACACGAGGGTATTTCAACCGCTAAAATATGATCATTGAAGGCTTGTCTGTCTGAACACTTTGCAAACAGAGTCACAACAAATATCAGCAAAGTATCATTTGGAATCAAGCACGCGCTTGGCGTGTTTCTCGGCCATTTCTTGAAAAGCGTGCAATTGATCCCGGAGTCCCGGACAAAGAGCATCAACATTGGCTGCATCATTGGCAAATTCCTGCCCCAACACATCCAAGTTCTGGAAAGCACACCTCACCCGAGTGGCATAATCCTCAAAACCGTCGCAGTCTTTGCAAACCGGTTCTCGTAGCATAAGATACCTGATCAAAACGGTGCGGGCACATCGACACGTGTGTGAGGTTAAGCCATCGTTCGTTGGTGAATGGTTGGGGAGGCTTCAATTGGTATTGACGGTTTCAAAAGTGCAAGAATTGCTGGCAGCGGGCTCTCTGCAAGTCTGCACGTAACGCTGCAGAATCACACCCTTCCTGATGGCTTCAGGCACGCTCTCATCATCAGGTACAACGACATCTTGACAAGTGGTGAAGCAGCGCTCACCGGCCTGCGAGTCGAAGTGCAGTTGAACAGGCTATCTCTTGAGCTCAGGAACTTTACCATTAACCAACCGACCTGGAGACCTGCATGTCCTGCTGAGACCTGCCCACATCTGACCACAGAGGTGCCCTAGCTTCCCTGTTGCTTCTCCTTGATCATTGAAAGCTGAATCAAACATCTTCTGACTTTGAGGGGAAACGTTTCTGCATATTGTGGACACAGTATGCTCATTATTAATTATACAGTGTGCAATAGTGTGCAGTACAAACTATGCGTGTCTATGCGTCACATACTACATTGTCGTAACATTTTCATACTGATCGTCTGCCTGGTATCGCAAGGTCAGACGTACCTGTCCGCTGCCACCACGGAGACGCAAAAGAATGAGGCCTCCATCCACTGCACCATCGGCGTGCACGCCGCTGGGAAACACGGTATCGACACGAATAACACTTCTTACCCCAGAAGAAAGGAAGCTGAAGATGCCTTGCAACGCAGGCATTGGTAAGCCAGCCGGGAATTGCCTTTCATGGGCCAAGTTGATCAAGGCATATCAAAATGACTCGCTTTTTGACTCTTTGATATTCTTCAGAGTTTTTCGAACACTCTTGCCGCTTTGCCCTCAACAATCCTCAACCCTTACCCGGCCTCTGTATACAAAGAAGAAAGGTTGAGACCGTCGACTTGAAGTCCAGTGGATAGAAGCGATGGACATCAGGCATCCATTCAGCTTCCACAAGCTCATCTCGAGCATCAAAGGGAGTGCCATACACAGATGCCAGCTGAAAGGAATCACTTTGCTGGGTGACCTCAAGAAGATCAAAACATTCAGGAGGTTCTGAGTAAATAATTCCTAGCTGCTAGCCCAAAACATGGCGCAATCATGCGCAATCTCCTACATCTGGCTAGGGATCTGATCTCACATCTTCTCACATCTTCTCACATCCTTCAATCTCAATCTCTCCCTCTGAAATCCTGGAAGCAAGGCCTCAACATCGAAAGCCACTGGAAAGAAGTTCCAATCGAAATTGTCTACGATGGTCTTGCGCATCTCCTCATCTCGTGTAATGCAAAAGTAGTTCGATCCTCTGTGCTTAGACACTTGTTCCGCTAGTTCAGCTTTGAAGTTCTGTCCAATCCCAACAAATGACACGTAGAGCCCACGCTCAGACTGCTTGGCCACCATATTGTCCAATTGACCGGGTCGCATGTCATCCATATCAGTCAGGAACAGCAGCCTTCGATGTCTTTCCTTGATGTCTGTCTCTCCAGAGATCTGGACGGCAGCTTCCAAGCCAGCTGAGATTGTTGTGCCACCGCCGGCCTGTAACGCCACAATGCGCTCTTGAAGCCTTGGTTTCACAGCTCACATTAACCAAGAGTTTGATTCATCTCACATGGTCAAGCACGTCAACGGATGGTTTCAAGAGTAACTGATGAGTTTTTGACTGTGCGTTGCCAGAAAATGCTAGATGTGTCAAACAACACATGTAAAACACGTTTGAAGCTGGCCGAAATGAGTGACATCAGTTTCCCAACTAAGGGGCTCATCTTGCTGAAGTATTGATACAAAGGTCAAGGGTTGGATCACACGCCCTTCATTTGAGAAGGTTGCCAAACCAAATCGGTCGTCCGGTCTCAGCTTGGGAAGCAAAGCCATCAAGGCATCCTTGGCTAAGGCCAATCGTGGCACACCACCAGATCGAAGAGCACCATCAACAGGCCAGTTCCTTTTCACTGAATAAAAAGGTTGAAACACAAACGGGTTGAAAGAGGTCGGTGGACTTAGGGAACCTAAAATGCTTGTGCATCTGCTGGCAAGGTGAGGGGCAAAACTGTGAGACATGCATAAATACACAAATATCTGCCCCTGCTGACCCGTCATCCCTTGAAGAAAACAAGTGAAGCCGAACCAGGTTGGACCTGTCAACTGCTTTAGTGCGTTGGCGTCAACAAAAGCAGTGAACAGAGCGGCGCATGCGTGGTTCCGGGCTGCCACTGTGCACTCAGGTCCCCAGGATGCCTCCCCAACACATCATGAATCATGACAGCTGACAAAGTTGGAGAGAAAAACAGCAAACAAATTCAAACATTTCATTAGACTAGGTGGCTCAATCCGGCTCAAATCATGGTAGATTCACCCGACGTTTTTACCAGGCGAAGGTCCCTCACTTTTCCGACAGGACAACTGGCATTCTCTTGAAACACCCCCCAGTCAGATTGCCAATGCCAATATGGGGACCTTGTTTGATTTTGAGGAAGCGGGAGGCACCTAAAATGCAATGGCAAGTCTTCTTGGAAGGGCACTTCTGATCCTCTAATCCCGAGTTCCTATTAATAAACCCTCCCCAATTAAAAAAACACCACGTCCGAACCCCTAAATCCGGTTTATATTTGGTTTTAAATTGCCGCCCTTTCAAACCGCTACTAAACTACCAACATGGTCGATTTTGGGGGTAGTTTTTTTAATTAGGTTCCCCAAAACTCCACCATGACACGCCGCGCTTACACCAGCAGGCTTTCCTTCCCTCAATGGCACAGACTCACGCAAACGCACTTGCCACCGAGGTCATGCAACACCGCATGGCACAGCGACATCACCTATCGAAAGCTTTAGCTGTTAGTCTACTGAAGAATCACTATTCTAATGAAGGTTTTTGTAGGGGAAAAGGAAGACCCTTCGATCTGGCGGTTTTTTGCATTTTTGATATGAGTTTAATAAAGGATTTTATATAAAATTTTCCTGGATTACTTTTTGGTTTTGAAACTCTTTCCAGGTGACCCTATTTTGGCCCCCCCCCGATTTCAGGGACCCCCTATTAGAAAAAATGCGACCGAGGTTTTTTTAATAGGGGGGGGGGGCCGTGTTTATTAATAGGAGGATGGGATTACTGATGGAAGCGCTTGCAGGTACACCGGGCCTTTGCCGGAAGAGGGACCCTTCTACGACCAGTTCGTTTCCACAAACACAACGAATGGCCCAAATGAATCAGTTTTGTGGGTCCGCTTGTCCCACCAGCAGCCCTAAATGAAATTATGAAAGAAGTGAAACACAAAGAGTTAGTAAGACCAACCAATCAACTGAGGAACTTCGCTGAGGAGGTTTTGTATCGGTTTCGCTCGGTATATACTGTATTCAGATGACTTGACCTCTCGGCTGCCTCAAAACTGTTTGTAGACATTTGTAGACCCTCTTTTCGCCCTGGCAAGCTCCGACTGCGCGGTAGAAACGGAAGGAGAACGGACGACTCGCCCTGGCACTGACGACGATCCTTCCCCCTGAGCCTGTGAGGTTTTTCCACTAGAAGCTGGTCAGTTGCGGCATGTTGCGATGTCTTTTCCACTAGAAAACGGCCAGTTGCTGTGCTCACCAACAAACCAAAAAGCTTCTACAAACACATACTCATACAAGCGAAACAAAGTCTGTCAGCGCACAAACACATGTCTGCCAAGAGCCCCATACGTCAAACCTCCAAAAGTCTTCCCTCCACGAGGAAGCTAAGAGGCTAAGAGCAAGGCTAGACTGCGCTTTCATGCGGCAAACTTGTGGCACAGGACGCCAAAGAAAGAAGGGAAGACGTCTCACAGAGAGCTGCGGGGCCCGCTTGAGTCCCAGCACGCTCCAACCATGCCCAAACTCTCACATGAAATGGAAGACAACTAAGACAGGTTCAAGACAGCAGCCGCGAGGCTACGTGCAAGCCGACTTGTTCACGCCATCCCTGAACACCAGCACAACACATCTTTAGGTGCCTTGCTGCAACTTGCTAGCGTAGGGTGGCCGATCGCCGACTGCAGATTCAAGCAGGCCATGTCTCATTGATGGTCTTGTTCAAATCAGACGGTCCAAGTGATCAACCAATCGAATGGCGACTGCCAACTAAGATCAAAAGAATGGACCAAGTGAGGGTCACCAAGTCTGGCAGGCGCCATACGGTGAGGGTCAAAGGTCGCAAAGCACGGCCTGACCTGGGCGATGGTGCGGCTGCATTCTTGAAGGTGCGGCGGGGGCTGCGCAACTCTGGCTATCGGGGCCAGGTGCTTGCGAGCCGCCGCCAAGCAAACAATCTACTTCGTGAGCAAGGTGTTTGTTGAAAGATTTCATTTAATAGGTTTATGTATTTTGTTGATGCATTCCAATAATGGAAGGATTACTGCCTGTGAGTAGAAGCCAAGATACAACCGACTTCAAACGCGCAACTCTAAGATCTCCGGCACATGTTGCTAGCTTCCTCCATGTTTGAGTTTTTTGTCTGAACCTCCTTCATCTGCGGAAAGCAAGAAGTTATGAATTGTCAGAAACTTGAGGTCAGTCAGATGTTTGATTCTTCTTTATTCTGTTCTATTGCGGGGATTCTTCATGAGGGTGCTTTTCTCGCGCTGTAATTAAAGAGAATAGCCTGAGAACAGTAAACAAACAATGATACAAAGCAAAGGACCCCCAAATAATGAGACGTAAGGTAAGAAAGCTTCTGGGAAACAATCAAGGTGGATGCCGTGGGTTAAAACAGGGTTTCTTCAGAAGCAGTCAAGGCGCATGGACCCTGAAACATCCAAAACCACGATTAGGTCCATGGGCACCTCGTCCCGTGGCTGTCCATCTCGGCTGGACTTCAAAAAGCAAGCGAGCCAAAGTCCCGCAGAGCCCTCTTCCTCAAAGCGCGAAGCATAGGCACTCACAGCCAGTTTGTGCACCTCCTCAGGTCCGCCAGTCTGATAGCTGTGCTGATTGAAAACGCCTCAATGCGACGAACTGAAGAATGCCATGTCATAATGAAGTCCTGAATTCTTGCGCGCATGAGTCATGGCCATGGCACACCCTTCCTCCTACCAATTTGCTGCAAGCATCCTATATCACCCTCATCTTGCGGCTAGCCGCTAGCTAGCCTTGACCATCTTCAATCTGCATACAACTAAGAGGTTTGGATTTTTGACCAGGATCTATGTGTGTGTGTGCTCTATGTGTGCTTGTTAATGACCAACAGGAACCCTGCTACTGATAATGCCAAAGCTGATTCATGGAGAGCATAGCTCTCAACTTCTCTTACGGTTCCTATGTTCATTTTGCTAGCCCAAAAGCATCATGTAAATCCATGCATAGCATCTCACTCTTGACTCAATTCAACTGCTTGAATCTCTTACTCTGTTACCCCATGCTAATGTTGCAGGTTTCACAGCTTGGCCTCAAGAATCTTTCACCGACCTCTATTATTGGTTTTGACATGGTTTGGAAAAGCTTGATCTGCTCACCTTGGTAGGTCAAAGTCGAGAGCTCCGGCAAAGGGCTGCCATCCGATCGAACTGCAGCATTGAATGCATTAGCGTCCATGGCGCCAGCTGCAGCACCCCCCATGATGGCTTTCATCAAGTACATCCAAACAGCTCTGGAGACGAACCTGCATGATCTCTATATACTCCAAATTTCTGGATGGACTGCAACCAGTTCGCCGGCACCACATGGGTTGATATTCGAACATTTAAGTCTTTCGACAGTATGTAATTATTTCATCTGCACGAACCAGTCACCAGTGCGCGCTGACAGACCACGGCATATAAATATAGATATATATAATATATCCTCCGATGAACAGTGGTTGTTACTGAAATCAATCAATTTGTGTGTGTGTGTGTCATGTCTGGCATCAGGAAGGAACAGGCAAGGTAGGAACAAGTTGGCTTTCTTGTTGCACAGCCCCTCCAGCTTCGTTTGACCATCATCAGTTCTTGGTGGGAATGCAAAGGAATCTTAAAATCAAATACAATCACAGGAAAAGTATGAAAGGCGGTCGGATGATCAACAAAATCCCACTGTACGGTACCTGACAGTCCCAACACCAAGATTGAATTGTAAAGGAATATGAATCTGAATGAATGGCATATGAATGAGCTGTTTATGGCAGGTTCTTGTGCCTTTGTGAAGAAACTTCTCCATCCCACAGCTCTCCCACAGCCCCGTTCAGCGAGCCCGCGCCTTGTCCGCCAGCGCGGCGGAGCTTGCCTTCAAGCTGCGAGTCATGAAGGCTTCCACCTGTCATGAAGGCTTCGAGCTTGGGACCTTTCCATTCAACCCACTACGTGGGTCTACTTAGCATGAATAAAGTTATCTGAGCTTGGATATCGCTGGATCGAGATTATCATACTCTTCTGTGCTTCTGAGGTGATTGTACTGAATCTCTCAGAATCAATAGCTTTGCGGAAACTTAACAGTACAGCAAGATCCACTTGGGTGCCACCAAAGACGAACACCGCACGTTGAATAAACTCCAGTGCACAAATCAGCGGCAAACCGGCATCCTGTGGCAACGCGCAAAGGATGCTGGAACGCGTCAATAATTTGTTTTGGGGTGGTTCTTTAGATCCTTTTAGGCTTAAGTTTCCCTAAAAATCTAGAAACCAAAACATGAGTGCGAGTTTCTTCAAGGAAGCGTGAGCTATCCGCGTCCATGCGTAGTAGCTACTTAAGCTACTAGCAACCTAGCTACCTAGCTACTGCCTCTACGACCTAGGCCCCCCCAAAAAAAGGTTTAGGACTCCTTTCAGCCCCTTACCACGGGACCATTTGGGTTGTCTTGTAGAGCACCATGTCTGACCACTCCACCTCTGAGCGCAGCTGCTCATTCTCATGGCCTCGGGGTCGTACGAGTTGTGTTGCGTATTGTTTGCGGTGCTATGCCTTTGCAGATCGTTTATATAACAGTTAGTCAGATTGTATGGATGGCTTTCCCAAACAAGTTGGCTGGTCCATGAGAAGTAATAGGCCTGTAAGCAGCAATGCTTGGAGGCCGCACGAACTTCACGTAGCTCTTCATCCTTTCAACAACAATCGGCGCAAGATTCATGACCGCTGCATTGCTGACAACACGCAGCATTGCATTGCATTTGCATTGCGCGGCACGTCTTTTTGAAGGCCAGGAGCGATGCTTTACGCCCCAGAGGCCCATAGCTATCACCGGATCCTGCTCCCATCAAGCACTTCAGATGAATCAGCGTAACGTGAACATGTAAATGCTGCGTGAAGCAATGTTACAACTACTCTCTCACATAAATAGAGGGGGTACGCCACTAGAGGTATATAGCTACCTAGCAACTGGGTAGCTACTACCTACAAGTAAGCTACTAGTATGGACGCAGGATAGCTCACGCTTCTTCAAGGAAACTCCCCGCGCCGCCCTAAAGGCGGCGGGGGAGGCTTCCTTGAAGAAGCGCTCGCACTATGATTTAGTTTCTAGATTTTAAGGGAAACTTAAGCTGACAAGACTTCTTGAAGATCGCTTCATCCAACTGAGCTCTAATTCCCACCACGGGCTTTGTGGCGGGTCTCTCAAGAATCACAGATGGGGCAGGAGCGACCTGCCCATTCAAAGACTCTTGGATTACCCCCACACCTGGTTGGGAGCTTTGGGGCTTTGCAATCGGAGCATCCTGCAAATGTTGTCGCAAACAAGATCTCCTGATGTCATGATCGGTTTGACAATCAACTTCGATGTATCAAGATGCCCTGCATTATATAATCTAGATATCTCATCAAATGAGGTCCTTCACTCTGAGGATGTTCCTCTTGCTCTGCGTGGACTCATTAACTTCTGAAAAGCTGGACATATTGATGGCAAGTGCGATAAGACCTGTTGTTCCTTGATTCCAAGGCTTTTCAAACGGAAAACAATTCGCTTTGAAAGGCTGGCTCAGCTAGGCATCTTGAAGCCAGTAATGCTATCCTTGGATGGCGGCAAACTACCAAAATTTGAAGATATACAAGTGTCCCCAAGAATCTAGGAAACAAATGAATAGTGCGAGGGCTTCTTGGAAGGTTGAAGGGGTCATATCTGCGGACCGGCTCTGCAGTTTGGCATGCTGCATCCAATCTCTACTGTGGCTTCGCAAGAAGGGCGGGGTCAAAAGGACAGTCTGATAGAGCCCATTGAGAAAGTGGAGCTTTTTGCCTCGCGAGTTTGAGACTGTGAAACCATCACACCAACGCACACCCCTGACTACTGAGCTTCCACCGTCAGAGTCATCGTGTTTTACCTCCGGTGACTTCCACCATCAAGAAGCCCTGTAAAAAAGGAGAGCAGGACGCTGTTGGAGTGCACTTTTTTTGTAACTTCTGTTTGCTGGTTTTGCTCCATTTGCTGATGACATGACACTGATGGATTGTGAACGTTGTAATTTTGCAAGGCTCCATATATATTCTAATTCAATGTGGATTCAATGCAAATCTAATTCAAATTCAATTGTGTTAATTAATCGTTTCACCATATCCTATGCAACTCAGATTTACCACTTAATTCCAAACAAACCAAAAAGTAACAATTCTTGGTGGCCTTGGGGTCTGGGATCGTGTATTGGGTTTTTGTATTTTTTGGATGATGTTCTTTTTTTCTGGCCTTGGGGTCTGGAATCGTGTTTTCTGTTTTTGTATGCTTTTCAGCAATTTTTGGACCATGTATAACCATTGCAGTCATTGCAAATGTGCTAAGCAGAAATTGTCAGTGGCTGCAAAGGATATAGCCTTTGCAGATGAGCCAAGCAGAAATTGTTAGTATATGTGTATGTAAATAGGATGAAAAAAGGCACTCCCAGGGTGTCCCCTTCTGTAAAAAAGTGACGTGCCCTAAGCTGCGGGAATGCTAAGACTTGTCCATATCTATCGCAACATATGATTTGGAGATGATACAAAGAAATGATTAGTTTCCCTAAACAGCATCTCAGAGCCAAATCATTAGTGCGAGCGCTTCTTCAAGGAAGCGTGAGCTATCCTGCATCCAGTTACTGGAAGCTAACTAGTAACTAGGAGGTTACTCCCTTAATTAAGTAGGCTAGTAGGCACCTACTTATATAACTATATAAGTGGGAGCGGGCCTCAAAAAAAGGACTATTTACAACTCGTGGTCACTGTCCCAATCAGATCACTCCTGGCACAGCCAGGGATCGATCGATGCACGGTCGGTGGCCGGCAGCCCTGCTTGGGTGCAGGAGCTGTGCAAGTCTTCCACGATTCGAATCAACGCCTAGGGCCACACCAGCTGAACACACGAACTCCCTCTTCCTAGACCAAACATCCGACATGGCAACACAAAAGAAAACGAGAGAAGGCACTCCCCTGGTTATTTGGGCGTGGCTGATGTATGCTGAACTATCTCATGTCAGCGGGAGAATTAAAAGCACTAAAACATGATGGGACCCTGGTTGCAACCCTGAATAATTACCATTCCTCACATTCGTCCTGTCTTTATCATCTTGCATTGTTGCATCACAAAATGACCTCCTTCTGCTGCATGAGCTGAGACTTCTCCTCTTCTATCTCCTTCAAGCAAGAAGCCGTTGACATTGGGGCCGATAGTGGGAGCTGCTGCTGCAAGAAACAGAAATCAAACTAATCAACGGTGACAATCAACGGTTGGAGATGCTAAATATTTTGAGAATGAAGAATTCCCCATCTGAACCTGAAAGCCACTTGCTTTGAGATGAAAGGAACACAAGAGTTTGAGGCGTCCTCAAGCATCGACTGCAACTTCATGTTTCCTTCACGGCGCTCTTCCAACTGCCGCTGAGCCTTCTGAGACATTGAGTCACAAGCGAAGAAAGACTACTTGTTCGAGGACATCCCTTAGTAGCGTCCTTGTTCCTAGTCGTGCGAGTCAGCGAAAATGAGTTTGTTTGTTTCGACTGCAAGAGGTGCAGCAAGAAATTCTGGACCGTTCTAGACACAGTGCCGGTCAAACATTCTTGTGAAATGGCCGGTGCTGGAGCGCCTCTTCTCGTTCACGCCGCAATGCTCGAATCCGAACATTGGCAGCCTGATTGAAGGAGAACATGTCGTATTGAACTTCACTTCCAAAGATTGAAAGGAACATTGCGCTCGCTTACTTGTTTGCGCCTCAATCTTGTTGTTGGCCTCCTCTCCAATCTTACTCAGCTCCAGCTGGGCCGCAGGGCTGTGTTGCACACAGGATTCTGTGGCTTCTCATTCAGAACTTTTGGGCCCAAGAGCTTCTAGCATCATATGCTGTGAAATCTGCCACAGACCCTCCCTACAAGTAGCAAGAACTAAATCTGCCCGCACTGAAGTTCATCGCTATTTTAGCTGGGAGAAAGAAATTGAGAGAGAGAGAGAGAGTTAGTTACCCTTTTCGGTTGGTAACGGAATTGCGTATCGAATCTGGCATCGTGAGGCGTGTCTGGACGGTGGGAGAAAAGATGCAAAAACACTAAAAATGCAATGTGTTGCAACATTTGATTGGGGGGTGTTATGATGTGTTATGTATGATCTGGGAGTGCAGGGTATAGGGCATGAAGTGTTACGCTTACCCGAACCATGCAAAAGAGTCGCTTGTCTGCCATTTATGGATATGGTGAGAAGGGTGATGCAAAAGATGCAAGTGCATCATGGACCTTTCAATTCGGTTGGAGAGTGATCGATGTAGGGATAGAATAAACAATAATAAACATATAGCAAATTTGTGGGCATTGCTGAATTTAAGTTGGACCCCCCTTCAAACTGTACAATTTCAAGGGGGTCGAAACGTTGAGTAATCAGTTCGTTTACAAATTATCTAGGGTCTTGGATTGGACATGGATGAGAAAATGTCTTCCTCGTGCTCGAAGCAGAAACAACTGGTGCAGATGTTTGTCGTCGCGAAGCGACCTGAATCAGTCGTCGAGACCTCCCAGCAAGTAGCGTTTTGTTTTACTACTAGTAAGGCACTTGTTAGAAGCGATACACTTGTTACTAATAGCGTCCTTGCTCCTAGTAGTAAGACCAGGAGCAGCCCCTAGTAGCGTCCTTGCTCCTATTCAAGATTATTTTGGCACACCATACTGTAAACCTCCTCTTCTTTGATTCGTTAGCGTATCCCTGTGTCAATCCCAACATCCGCCTCAAGGGCTCGCAGCTCGCTCTGAAGCTCTACAGACAGACTCCTCTGCTCCTCCAATTCCTGGAGCAGCAAAAACTGTTTCAAAAAACCAAGCATGCCCAGAGAGATTGCTCATGCATGCTCATGCCCCAGAAGGGCGCCAAAGACATCCAAAGACTACAAGCCAGGCTGCCTTCTGCGCCTCGGCCTCCTTCCCACGCCTGAACCATGGACAGCGGAGTCACAAGCTTAGATGGGGCTGTCAAGAGCAAAACCAAAATCGGTCAAACACAGAATCTCTCAACAACAACTAAATGCAGGGTACACTTCTCTTTCAACCGGACATGGAATCCTGCACTCCAATCGGCCAATCCCTAGCCTGGAAAGTGATGCCTCACTCTGGATGGCCAAGCCTCGAACCTTGCGGAAATCAGCTGTGCTGCTGTGAGAGAGATGTGTTCAAAAAAGAACCTGGTGGAATCACGTTGCTCTTTCCTTGTGCTTTGGAGGCACCATGTCTGTTGGCTTCTGAAATCGACTTCAGCTGCTGGACTCCAGATTCGTTATGAGGTCTGGTCTGGTCTGGTCTGGCCCTGTGAAGTTCGAATAGAAAGGCTGCATTGCAAATATACACCAACGAGTATATATCAAATTGCTGCAGAATCATAGGGATACATGAGGGATGCAAACAAATGCACTACGAAATGCCCTTGCTTGAAAACTCTAGACATAAATGTGGAAGGTTCAGAGTGCTTCTCAATATGCGGCAGGCCGAGGGTTCCATAGTGGGTATGTCTTGACTGGGTCTCCATTCTTCTTGCAGCTGGCGGTTCGTTCGCTCCTCCAGGAGGGTCCTTGGCCATTGCAGTCTCCGTTTGCTGCAACTCAGAACAATAGACACAGGATGCACTTTTGTAACACGGATTCACAAATGAGGCTTGTGCCAGTGGCAGT